CTGTGATAGTTGGTATTAAAGTACGACCAGAAATACTCTACGGGACACGATTTTGACTTGAAGGTGGTGGTGACTCCTCCGTACTTCTCACTGGCGTAGTTATAAAGACTCTTAAATTCAGCCTCGGTGTTGGCGAGGGTCATGTCCTTGAGTGCGGCAAACAAGCCCTCGGGTGCCTTGGGACCCAGTCGGCGATGCCAGGCTTGAAAGACGTGAAACTGGCAATAAAAGCACGCAATTTCTTTGCTGCCGCGCTCCTTACTGAGCAAATCAAAGGCGTCGGTGCAACCATTGATTAGCTTCCTGTCCATGTCCGTAAGCACAAAGGCCGGCAACGGCACTTCAGGGTTAAAGCGCCAGAGCACCTCAACAAATCGTGCGACTGCTGAAGCTGATAGGCCATTGATAAAGGCGTGGCCAATGACAACGCCCCGTCCGGTATTGGGCTCCTCTGTCAAAATCGAGACCTAGGCCGAGTAACGTGAGGTGTGAGAAAAAGAAATGAATTTCAAACAGCCTTCAATAGCGCTGAGCAAACGACTACGCGCCTAACCAGCTCATGAGAGTACCGAGTCATTCCGTGTGTTCCATCCATGTAAATGATGCTGTCCTTTGTAATCAGCTGCTTCATCCAATATCGATGGAGTGGTGACTGTATCACCATCAATTCAAACCCACCCTTGAGAGCCATGCCATCCGCTGAAGGACGCGGTGTCTGAACTGTACAAGCAAACAGACAAATACGAGAAACATGCTTGATAAGCTTGCTTAATAAGCTAGATAAACCAAGACCCAGTGCTTGGCAGACTCGAAAGCTCGGGAGTGACTTTTGTGCGTGTGGGGTGCTTGAAAAGGCGATACGCACGGCGGCGGCCGGCATACACGCAAACGTACGGTTATCGCTGAGTTCTTTGAAGGTTTGACAGTCATGATCGCGCTGCGCATACTGCAACGCATAAAATAAGGAAGATTCAAAAGAAATTCCTGTGAGCATGAGCCAGGAGACGTCATGGCAGTTCCACGTAGCTTGACTGTGTTCCCTTGCGCGTGATACAGACCAGTATGCTACACTCCGTGGGATCGCCTGATAAGCTCTCCGTCACTAGCTGTTGCACAGAAGTGTGATCTTGTGTGGCACGCCGCCCGGCAGTGTCGCGCAAGGAGTGATTGTTGACATCCTTGGCAGAGACAATAAAATCTCGTGAATTCTCCGGGACTTGTGCCCTGATAATACGCCTGATGTAGATGCTTGGCACACCCATAGATGACAAATGTGCAATCTCTGATTTGGCCCAGTGGCTGAGGGAAATATTGTGCATGTAGGACTTGTGAGTGTGCTCATCAAAAATCTCCAGCTACACCATCAAGTCAGAACGGCGTATGAGCGATTTCTGTTTGCAGGATTGAAATTTGCAAGCCGGGACCAACCTCAAAGGAGCCATCATCCAGCTCCTGCTGCCACATGTACGCATAGCAGACCACTTTCTGAGATTCTTCTTGTTCCAAAACGCAATCAGGTTCGTCCTCATGCCTTTGGTGGTCAGCAAATGCTTGCTCACTCATCGCCGAGTCATGCTGCCCGTGACGTGAATCAATGTCCAAGTTTGCATGCAGGCTGCTGTTGCCCGCTTCCTGTTCCTGACTCTGCGCTACACGCTGCTGTTCTACACGACGCTTTTCGGGTGGGGGAAGCCCGGCCGAGCAGTGATAGTAGTTGCCTCGACGATCAAAGCGACATGCAGAGGAGTTGGAGTACATCTGGATAAAGTCTTTCAGCTCCTCATGCGTATCAAACCGAATCTGATCGATCTGCAGCTCGACCTGGTGTGCTTCTCGCACGTGTCTGACCCAGTCTCGCCGAGACCGAAAGCGCGCTTGACAATTCGGTAGACAAGTCTCCTGTGGGTCAAACACAAGGCAATCGCCGGCACCCAGCTTTTGACACACGATTGAGTTGGCCTATTTTCATCAAAAATCCCACCCAAGAAAGGACAGTCCGTGTGTCATGAGCATCAGTGCATCAGCAGAGGGGAAGCACAAGGGCGGCTTGCTTCCTGAGACAGATAGCTTAACATTGCGCTCTACCTTTGAAGTTGAAGGCCTTGCGGTGTCTGTATCACTGATAGTTGCCCCGGTATTGCTCTGTAGAAATGTGTTTTCGGTTGCTACAGGGTCGAGATTTACCTCTACAGGCTTGGGGTTTGCTATGGGCTTGTCTCTAGCCGGCTTTGGGCGGTATGGCACTAGGGGAGGTTTGTAAGGCGTGCACTTTGCGCGCGATTTGTGCTTACGCAGGGCCGCCGAGTTCTTGAAGCAGCCAAAGCACTGGAGGCACTGCTTGCACGACTCGTAAACTTTGCCAAAAGCTGCTACGCCGCCGTCCATGCAATCGTGCGCGGTAGCGCAATGCGTAGCAAAGGGGGCGGCAGATCTTGCAAACCACTCGAAAGTGCAGTCTTCCTCTCCACACAGCATCGTGCTCGCACTTGGGAAGCAGTCTGACAGCCGCTTGCCCCGGTGATGTTGCTCAATGTGCGTTCGCGCTGCGCCGGAATCAGACACCGACCTCCCACAATCTTTGCACTCCACTTTGCTGCCACTTGATATCTTGCTTGAATGCGAAGTCGAGGTGATGGCATTTTGCTCCTGCGCTGCGGCGGTGTCTTTGCTGCTCAGATCAACAGGCTCGGAAGCCACCAAATGCTTTGCCGTTTTGCCAGTGTGAATCCGGTCAAGTGGTACTGCCAGTGCAGAGGCTGGGGGAGGTCCGATTGCCTGAGAAAGAGTAGAAAACAAGACGCCCTTCTGGTCCCGAGACTCGTCACCATGTTTGGTGGTGACTGCTGATGCCTTGACCGCCAATTGAGACGATTTGCCTTGCGCATTGCTCGGTGCACTCATGGTGCACAGGGGAGCTGTCAAGAATGTGCTGCAACCTCCTTTGCAGAAGTGATTGGGAGCAAAGTGCCTAGATGAAGGCCATCAGTGCAATATTGGTGAGGAACTGATGTAGATTGGATAAATTCGCAGGCCGGACTGCTTGCTACCGCGTGCGCTGGTTTTGAAATCCACTCGATGATCACGCACCTGTTGCAGTAGATAGGTGTCAACGAAACCTCTCAACGCTACGAGTACTCTGTGCCGCCGTACACCTCGTGTGGTGCTGAGACCACGGGACCGAAGGGAAGGAGTACACCGACTGCGTCGTCTCGTAGATCAAGGCCGCGCAGCGGAAAAAAAAGTTTGGACCAAGTCTGCGCGCGTCGTCCAGCGAACCAAGAGCACACAAGTCTGGCTGCGCCGCCTTCCAAGCTAAGCCTGCACACGTCTGGATCGCGCCGTTTAGCACAGCGAGCCGCACGAGGTAAAAAATGCCGTGCGGGGACGGACGGAGACGATGAAGGGTCAAATGTCATCATTTTTGTTTTCACTTCGACAGCATTTCTCCATAGTTTTCGGCGAATTTCCAGCCTTTTTGGCGCGCTCATTTGTGTATTCGGGCGCTATCTCGGTACTTAGATGCCAGACAGACATGAGACCCGGCTCAAACGATGCGTTGAGTAACGCTCTATCGAACGACGGGCGCATCGGCACTGCTACCGTCGTCCAAGCGATAAATATGAAAGACAACGAGAACGGTTTAATTTTTTTGGAAACAACCAAGCACAAGTTGGATTCACCGTCGCGGGAAGCCGCGTTTCCCGTGTGACATGCGTCAAACCAAAGCCAAGCAGTAAGCTTAAAGTCAAAGCTAAGCGTGACATTCGCCGAGCGTAAAGCCAGTAAGCTTGATGAAGGTCCAAAGCCGAAATTTAAAGAGTTGTACCCAAGCAATAACATTAAGCTTAAACAGTGGTGTAACGGCTCACTGTGGGGTTTGGCATCTCATGGCTGCCTGCGATAGCCCGCTTGTACAGGGTGAATGGAAAGGGGTGCACGAGGAAGACCACAACGGAGAGGAGCTCTTTTTGACATTCAATTGATAGCTGAGGCGTGCACGGCATGCTGGAATGATGGCCGATTCCCCCGTTGCTCACGACAGGGCAGGACAATCGGGGCTCAAAAAAGCCTCGGAAAAAGCTTGCAAAAAGACGAAGGAGAAACGACTAGCCTAGAACCTGTGCCAGGGATGGTCTGGGAATCTACTGAGGGGGTCGTCGCGAGCAGGGAGCGGGGCGGAAGCCGACGAACGGCGGTTCGTGAGGGGAGATACACGGGCTGAAGCGGGCAGGAGGGGAAAATGCTGCTCCACAAAGGGAGCAAGTCACAAGTAACGGCATTCAAGCTTGACGCATAACGGTCATGGAGAAATGTCAGATTTTAACCCATTAAATCCTGGAGAAAGTCACACCTAGAGAAACTCATTGATTAGCCGCTCTCATATTAAAGTTTAGAGGGGTAAAAACAATTAAGGAGCCTGCACGATATACTCAGCTATTACGCCTTATTTCGAACGTACGACCCTTCGGACTGCAGCCGAAAGCTCTACCCCTGAGCTAAGACTCCCATTGGTTGAATCCGCCAAGTGAAAAGTTTACATATCACTTAAACTTTATCTGACAATGACTTTGGAATGACTTTCAAAGGTGCGTGCATGTATGCATGTTGTGGCGCCAGGTTGCGCATGATGGCTTTGGGGTCTTGAACAACCTGCGCAAGCGAGAGTGCAAGCTCTTGTCGCACAGCGACCGAAGCAATTGCACTGTAGCCGGTGCATTCCAAGCACCGAGAGGCAGGTCGGGTGGGCTGGCTGGTAGTGGTGGGGCCAAGGAGCCGCCGCGACAGGGGTTTGCAACGAGCCGCGTGCCGAGTATTTCCCGCTTGGCCAACCCGTCGGAAGCACCGAGTCTCTCCGCCCGCGCCCCCGTCTTCTTGTTTTGCACCGGCAAAGGTCGTCCTGTCGAGCTTCTTGCCAGGTCCTTGCACCCGTCGTCCATCCCCATCGAGTCGGCAGGCTACTGGGCGCTTCGTGAGGAAGCTCGAGGCCGCGACCAATCACCATGCCACACCGGGATGACACCGTCAAGCGCCGGCGCTACACCATCGAGGAGGAGGTGGATGAAAAGGATCGCACCATCGTGCTCTTTGGCATCCCCGCCGTATCAAGGGGCGTCAGCATGTGCCTCCTCATTGCCTACATCATCACCATGATTTTGGCCTTTGTACGCCCCGCACCCAGGAGCACCAGCGCCTTCATATGAAGATTACGTTCCTTATCGTTCCCTGACCCTTCTTTTGCTCTTGAATTCATTTGTAGATCCTGCTCATTGTGGCCTTGGCCTTGCCAAGCTGGATCGAGGGTACGGAGAACGGCGTTGACCGCGAGGTGAGCCCATCGCCTTGCTGGCACCTCGTCGCCCCTGCCCAAGCGTGTGGGCAATCACTCATCCAAAGCGACTCAAAATAGATTGGACTCTTCTCACAAACAGAAAATGGCAATGAACTGGATGACACACGCCTGTGGGACAGTCCCAGCAGCCTGCTCGAGGGCTCCGGCGCTTTGTTTGTCATTGGCATGATTGCCCTGGCCCTGGCCATTCTATTGGCCCTTTTTGCAGCTTGCTTGATCAGCGGCTGGCTCGTCCTCAGTGCCAAGCTGTGCAACGTTTTTGCTAACTTTCTCTTCATCATTGCGGTTCTTCTCCTGGCGCTGGGCCTGGAGGACTTGGATGACACCTGCCCCAGCGGTACCAGCTTCCAGTGTGGCCTCAACTGCACCGACCCTCGCGACAGCTTTGAACCTTTTATTCTCTGCGCCCCCTACACCATTGGCGCCGCCATCCACGTCATGGGTGCCGCTCTAATCATTCTCTTCCTGGCTTCATGCTGCGGCTTCTGGGTTCGCGGCTAAGTCCTGCCAGCGCCCATACCCATTTTGCTTTTGATGCCTTGCGAACAAGCTCGCTCGCTCATCGAATAACAACCCTCCAAGGGTGTCTTGATCAGTTTTTGTTTTTATTTTCGCCAAGGGCCGCCTATATTTTTGGCGGCAGCGTGCCCTGGAGGGTGCTGCATGCTTGCAGGGCTGGCCTGGCTCGTAGCTCGTCATGGGCTACCGGCATCCGAGTGTGTTTTTAGTGTTGAATTTCGTCATCTGCTCTCCGCCCTTTCGCCCTTTCCTTTCAACAAGAGGCAGCGGTCGTTTCGCGGCCATCGCGATCTGTTTGGCGTTGTGTAATGAATGCTGATGATAAAAATTAATGATGATGATATGTGACGCGACTTTTTCAGTTGAGTGTCTTTTGGACTGAAAGAACTTTATTATTGATTTGTGTGCACTGCACCAACATGTCAGGCATCTCAAAGAAAAAGGCGGCGGGTAAAAAGTCGCGCCCGTTCCTAGATGCATGGGGATTGAAGATATAAAAAGAAAGCAGAAGCAGACAGCCGCGGCGGCTCGAGCGTCGCGTGAAATACAAGAACACCATCTTAATGGATACATCAACGCAAAGCACAAAGGGATCAGACAGGCATCCATGCAACGGATGCCATTACGAGGGGGTCGGGGCCGGGGCAGGCTCCTCGCCGGTCCTTTGGCCTGCAAAGGACATAAAGTACACCTACAAGAACCAGAACCGAGTGTGTGATGAGCCACAGGTTCACCAAAAAACGAAGATACAACTCATCTGTGCAAAGGATGAACGCAAAAAGAAGAAGCACAAACCTGCGTGGCACCACCCGACTGAACTGAGGCAAAGTAGACCTTGTCTCGCCGAGCGCATAAAAATCGCAGCTATCCCACGTATTAAAAGCATCGAAAAAATTGAGGGTTAGACCCAAACCAGAGCGCCGCAAGCCCCGAGCGCCAAAAGCTCACGGCGCAGGGGCCTCGGGCAGCTCGCAAAGTGACAGACTCACCCGGAGGGCGCGCCGGTGCTTGAATACGCCGAGCAGGTCTCCGTTGAGGGTGGAGCGGATCTCAATTGCCTTGCTGGTCCAGGCCATGACATATTCCGGCACCACAAAGGCCACCGAGGTGGGCAACGTATCCCAGTCCGTTTCAAAGTCCTCGGTCACATCGCCAAAGGCATCCACAACCACGCCCTCCCGGTTGTATAGCAGGCGGTATTCGTCGCCAACAAAGAAGATGGCGTGTGGCATCAGCCCCTCCTTCGGGGCCGGCGAGGGGACGTGCAGATGGATGATGGATCCCGAAGCCATGTCAATCCGATGAAAGCCTGCCATACGTGCCACACACTCGAGTGTCAGTCTACTCGTTCATCACATTTCGCGAAACGAGACGAGACCACGACGACAGCAAGGCAAGCCAACAAGCTCTTCGGAAAAAAAGCATTGGGACGCACCAAGGCGTGACGCGTAGATCAGCCGGATGTCATCTTCAGTCGACACACTCATATTCACCATGAGCGGTGGGCTGGGAACGGTGAATTCCTAAAGAGTCCACACAACGGTGCAATCAGCAAGCATCCATGTGCTGGTTGGCAAGCTGCTTGGCAGGGCCGTCATAAAGCCGTACGCACATTGTACAGTTTGAAGGCGTTGTAGGGGTGTGGGGCCCACAGTAGCACATAGATCTTGGCAGGCGTGGCTGCAACCAAAAAGCGAAGCCGATCATAGCGCACTGGAACAAAGAAAGAGGCCGCACAAAAAAGAAAAAAAAAAAAAAGAGAAAGAAAAATGGTCGATGTCAGTTCGGGCACTGCAAGAGGAGCAACAAGAACAACAAGTTGCCGATCAAACTTCGGACCGAGCTTGAAGTGAGTGACGTTCATCAAGTCGAGAACGGGGTCGAAAAGGCCCGTTTTTGGCAGCTTGCGAGTCTCTCCCAAGACTTGGGCCTTGAAATGGATCAGGTTGTACACGCGCAACTGTGGCCGACATCACATGTCAGGATCAGAACATGATAGGTTCTTCTCCACCACTCAACAAACTTCCAACGAGCACACAGCAACGGCGCACAGACCTTATTCTTCTTCCCAGAAATGCACACGAGTCCGTTGATGGATTCCATGACCTCGATCTGGCGGAACATGCGGCGAGAAATCAACGGAAACACCTAAGAGGAAAGACAAACGTTAGCGATGAGTGTGGCGCCTCGGACGGATGCCGAGTCAAACTCCCAAGGTACCGCAACTACAGACCCGGCCGTTGCCAGAGCGGTCCATCAGATTGAGGCCTGCTTTGCTGCCGACAATGAGATTCTCGCCCCAAAATGCAGCGCATGTGATCTCGTTGGTGAATTGCTTGCGGAACTTGCGGATATCCGGGGCGCCCAGCGCCTCATCGGATACCGGCTCTATGATCGCGCTGTCGTGCACGTGGTCCTGAAGAACGCATGATGCACATGATCGATGAGCACAAGGGCAAGAGGCAAAGTGCAAATGGGTTGAGCTCCGGATGATGGAGGAAAAAAAAAAAAGCCAAACTCTTGCCCCCACAAGCATAAACGAAAGCACATACGGCAGGTAAACGACTGGTGGCAAGGCGCCTGAGTGTGGCGGCAGGCAAAGCCTCGCGAGCGGCGGCATCTAGCATACTGGACACGCGCGAGCTGGACTGCTGAGGCTGAGCTTCCTGGTCCCGTTCATCGACAGTCTCTTCGGAATCCTCGTCATGGGCGAGCTTGGACGTGCGGCGGTTAGGGACTGGACCGGCCAAACCCATGTCAGAGTTCCGCGAACTTTTAGAGCTTTTGCGCATACTGTGCTTGCGTCGAAAACTGTCAAATAGCTCCGTATTCACTGTGGTTGGTAGCTCGAGCCCCGCGGTGGTGTGGTGACTCGAGAGTGATCTAAGAGTCGCGGGCATGATGGACGCGGGCAAAGGTGGCATCAAGTTAGCACGGGGTGACTGCGACACAGGTTGGGCTTGAGCAGAGCGCCAAACTCACGCGTTGAGGGGCCAGTCGGCCACATCGTCATGTACCAGCTCGGGCTGCTCCTCGTGCTCCTGCTCCTCGCCATTAGCCGTTCCTAAAGTCGGCAAGAAAGTGCGCCGCCAGGGCAATACGCGTGGCGTGACATGATGCCTGCGCAATCCAAAAAGTCCACGCCAGCAGCAGGACCAAGGCCCGCCCCTGTTTGCACTCACGCTGCATGACTTTCTGTGCAAAGGTACAGCATGCTGCACGCTGCTTGCGCAAATCCACGCTCTTGAGCCAAGCATGCTGCCAACGAAACATGATCATGTGAGCAGAGGGACAGAAGCCACGGCCGACAAGACGGAATGGAAGATCCGATATAAAACAAAACAAAGTAACGGCCCACGCGCAGTCTTACCTCGAGTAAGCGCTTGGAGGTGGGGCGTTGCTCATAATCTTTAATGAGACAGGTAGCAACAAAGTCTTGAAAGGCGTCGCTCCTAAAGCAATGTCCGGGACAAGAGGTCAGGCCGGGCGTGGCTAGACAGAGCGAGGGTCGGGAAAAACAAGGCAACACGACGTGACCGACCAGGCAGCGGGCTTGAGCGTGGGGCTGGGGTTGCGGGGAATTAGGAACAGGGCTCGCATAGGGTGAAGATCTGAGAGAGGGGGTTCGGTCTCGGCCATTTCGATCGCGGTAATACCAAGTGACCAGATGTCGGAGCGCTGATCATAGGTGGCGTCCATTTGCTGGTCACAGGCGATGACCTCGGGAGCCATCCAGTATGGTGTTCCGATGTAGGTGTGGCGAGCTTCATTTTTGCTCTTCATCTCCGCAGATACGCCAAAGTCCACTGTAGCAACGGGTCACGAGGCGACAGCGCAAGGGGGGAAACCAAAGGTGAAGGTTGCGCTCGCCGGAGCCAAGCAAATTCAAGTATAGCGTGCGTGCGGGCCTGCGACACACACCGAGTTTGATGCCTCCGTCATGCGTGATGAGAATATTTTGGCCCTTGACATCACGGTGAATGACCAAATTCTTGTGCAAATAGCGGAGCGCTGTTGTCGTTTCGTGGAGAAAATAGGCGAGAAGCTGACCGGGGTCCAGCACATACGAGTGAGCAGAGAGAAGACATGATGTCGGGCTGAGCAAGGTGGACAGGGTGAACGCACGGGTTCAGGAAGCTGCTTTGGCAGGACGGATTGGGCCAAGTCGATGACCGAGCCACCCTCACAGAGTTCCATGCATAGCCACAGCTTCGGGTGTGGAATGCGTTCGTTTGAGTTTGTGTCGGGCTGTGTAACAGCAAGGCGTGAGCTTTGCGTCGATGAGGACAAGGGAACCTTGGCAGTGGTACTGTCACGTACAGGAGCGAGAAAAGCGCCGTAGAAGGTGGTGATGTTTTCATGGGAGCCAAACTTGCGGAGAATGTTAACCTCGACTTTAATTTCATCCTCTTCATCCTAGTGATGCACAGGCAAGCACGGGACGATGCATCGGGTTGAGGATATGAGGTCGGCAGCCGATACCTGTTTTTATGCCTTTGCTGCAGAAGCAAACGTACCTCAATGAGATCCATGACCTTGATGGCCGCAATCTGCTGGGTTTTGGCATGCTTGGCCTGATTTCAGCACACAAAGGGGCAGGCAGGGAGACACGGACGGACACACACGGCACCACACAAGTGTAGGTGAGGTATGCTTCATGATCAGGCTGAAACAGGGAAAGAGCGGCGAGAAACCTACGCGGTAGACTTCACCGTAGGTCCCGGTGCCAATCACTTCCATTAGCTGGAAGAGGTCATTGGGCGGCTGCACAACACGAGACAAGTGAGCAAGGCCAGTGTGACGAGCAATGGGCGGGTGAAGAGAGCGGGTGACGTGAAATACGGACGGGAAGATCGCGCAGATTGTCGAATTTGGCCATGCTGAAGAGTTGGAGGAATCACGGGCATCGAGTGGGCAAGAGGAGCGGCAAAAAAATGGCCGCAAGGGAAGGAGCAACACGGCAGCGGAAAGGAAAGGTGGCCGTTAGCACAAGGAGGCAACAGCCTCGCTTAGTTTTGGTTTGGGGTCATGCGTAGCTGCTAGTTTTCAAAGCAACAGCAAAGATCGGGTCGTGAGCGCTGCCCCAGGCATCTCGGGGAAGACAAGTGCGGACGGACCATGGTTCATGCATGGACGCAGGATTGGAGAAAAAAAGGACCCAGCGCTGCGGACGCTTGCAACTAAGGGTCAGAACTTCTAGAAAAAGAAGAAGCGCACAGATTCAGAACCAGGATGAGCAAGCCAAGGAAGACAGGAAGGAGTGCGCACGTTGCAAGATCAGCCGCCGTGCTGCATCGCGCTCGCAGCGGAAGGATAGCGCAAAGCATCTGTGGCCGCCTGCTCAGATGATGCATGGCAGCGACAGGGAGGAAGCACAAAGACAATGTAATGACAAAGGCAGCTTTGCGTGGCTCAGGCAGCCACCGCACCGCCCTGCCTCCCTGGCGATGGCATCGACCGCGCGTTGCCATCGAGTTCTTGGAGCGGTGGCAGCATGCGGTGCGGAACCGCTCACCACCCATCATCCAGGACACAAGGAGAGACCAACGGACTACATCTTCTCGTCTTTTCCCCTGGACATCAAGTCCTTATCCACGTCAATGCAGAGATGCCATCGGTACAGCGCCACAGCTCCGATCACCGCCATAGGTAGGCGCGCTGCCATTTCTCACTCACCGATCACAGAGAGAGAGAGAAAAGAGAGAGAGAGAGAGAGAGAGAGAGAGAGAGAGAGAGAGAGAGAGAAAAAGTGGGCGGAGCGGCAATGTTATTCTCATCATTACATCTTTAAAGTTAAATGACGCTCCTGCTCGTCGTCATGCGGCGTTTGTCTGACAATGACTCAGTTATAGTAGAATATATTCCAGTTGATGCAGTTTCTACTAGGATGTAAGGTATCAGCATGAATAAATTAGATTGAGTTTGTGTAGCAAAATAAAGAGCTTTTGACGAATGTTAAGAATTTTAATTTTCCTGCGAGGGGCATCGCGGTTGCGCGCGCCGTCCCGTTGGTAGATGAGGTATCCAGTGGTCCGTGTTCGTGCGGCTCGGGGTGGCCAGGGTTGTAGGACAGAGTCGGGTGGGGTGGGGAGCTGGTCATGGGTATCCAACGGCATATCCGCGCGCGCGAGGGCTGATCTGCGGCTGTTTTGGTTGTGGCAGATGGAGGATTTGGCAAGCGCGGACTTTGATCCCCAGCAATGTGCGTAGGCCATGAGGATGGTGGGCGAGAGAGATGTAGCACGGGTCCTGTCCTGGCTGCAAGGCCTTAGAACAAGTCTTGGCAATGCTCACGGGGCGCGTCTTGGCTTTGCAGGGCTGGACAACTTTTGCGCCACCCCCGATGTGACCTTGGAGGTGATGCAGAACAAGGTGGCTGAATTCAAGGCGCAAATCGACCAGAATGGCATGCAGCTCCGTGAAAACGTTTTTCGACACCACGGTGCGGACCCACGGATGCCATTGTTTATCCCGGGCCCTGTCACTCTTCTTCTGCATCTGTGGCGCTTGACGATGCGTGCTTTTGGTGGGCCACCACAACAGGCACCTACATTTCCACGGCCAAGGAAATCTCGGCACTGGAAGCACAGCTCCATCAGGTCGAGCACTTGCTTCAGGTGCAGGAGAACAAGGTCCGCGACCTCGAGGAGGTCCTTGAAACGGGCATTGGTACGTGTCTCGTCAAGCAGTCCCCCCTTCCCTCCATCACGCCGTGTGACGCCGTCTGCATTGTCCTGCTCATATCGGTGCTCCGCTTAGTTCCGGGGCACGACGTGAAGGATGAATTGGAATGGACCATCCACGATGTCGATGGCCTCGATGTGCGTCATGCTGACGGAACAGGTTGAGCTTTTGAGCGACTCGGGTGTCCCAGCTCATGCCACGCATTGCTGTGCAGCGTTTGCAGACCGAACTGGAAAACGATTCGCTGCTCCACCAGGGCACGCTCACGCTCTGGGAGCTCGGAATGCAAATGGTTCAGGCTCCCGTCATGCTCTTCCTCTATCATCACCTCTTTGTGGTTCGTATGCGTGTGCCATGTCGGGTGCGCGCCCGTGTACGTGGCCCCACGTGGAAACACTCACTGGCACACCGTCATGCAACACGTTGGCCTTCTTCGACACATCTCAGCTGGCACAATTCAGTGATGATGAAGAAGGCCGACCGCTGCAACTGCTCGAGGCCACCCCGACTAGCCAGTTTGCAGTACAAGACTTGCCAGACGACGACGGTCTGTACCGGGCCTTTTGACACATGAGCCCTCAGGCCTTTTGTCCTGCTCAGCATCGATATCTGTTCGCCCAATCCCCGATACACAGAACTGGTCAACGCTATCCTGCTAGAGGCCAACGACCGCTACATCTTGGTGGCCGAGGCCCCAGCTCAGAAGAACACCTGGCTGCGCTTTCTGCGCCGTGTGGCACTCGCCAAGGCACACGGCGACGACCACGTTGACCTCGAGGCAGGTTAACCTCGGTCATTGACTGGCGCGGCAACATATGTGTTTCGCCTGCAAGCCACAGCCCTTCCTTTTCGAAAACGTCTCTCATCTTGACTGCTACGGGGTAAAACATGCGTGCAGCTTCTCGACGAAGGCGAAGAAGAGCCGGTCAAGACCAAATTGGATGTTCGTGCTGGCGCTTTTACTTGCGCAGCTGCCCAAGCCTACGTGATATCGACTTTTCTGACCAATGTTCCGCTATGTCCGACGCGCTCTAGGCCTGGCTCGTGGATGCACCAGATGATCTCGATGTCTTCATTGCGCAGCGACGCTTCCAAGAGGCCGTTGATCTGGTCGACAGTGCCCACGCAGCGCTGGCCCCTCTGGTCAACCACATGGAAGAGGCCGAACAGCTGGCGCTGGAGGTGGACGAGCGCATCGGTCTGCTGGCCCAGGTTTTGGGCGACGAGATTACACAAGCCGCCATGCGCCCCGCGGTTGTCCGGACCACCGTCTTCCTTATGCTCCGACTCAATCGCGAGGATGACGTGAGTCTGCCCCCTCCCCCGCCATGCCATGTTGCTGCCGGTGATACCTCATGTGTGTACCTGTTGGAATCTGCAGGCCCGTCGAAAATATCTTCGCTATTGGTCCAACGAGATTACCCGTCAAATGCGGTGCATACCCCGGCGCAACATGCAGCCAGTTTGCGTGGTGCACCTGTTTATTCACTGGTTTGCTGCCGGGGCCTACTCTTCTCGTAGAAATCTCAAGGTGGAGGGCTCGACCAACTTGTTTATCGAAAAGCTGTCTTCAACGTTCTTCTCCATTCTCTCGGCCACCTGCCAAGAGTTTCCCGAACTCTTTGGGAACTGCGCCATGTCCATCCATGCTCACTGGCTCAAGCATGAAGTGGTGGCCTTTGCCGCCGTCTTTATTCGCCAGGTCATGGATGCGGCCAACAACACCCTGACGGATATTGCTGCAGCCACAGATGTGGTGCTTCAGCATTTGGACCGGGTATGACTCTCGACCGCCTCGAATCGGTGCTCGCTTGCTGGATGGCAATTGGAACATGAGCTGACCACGGTATCCCACTGTCCTCTCCGTGCTCCCTCTCTCTCTCTCCTTTTTTTTTCTTAATGTAGTTGCGCCAGCAAGGCTTGGACATGTCATTTTGGTTTTTCCACCAGATTTTTGAGCCCCTGCAGCAGGCGGTGACCAAAGTGAGTCCCGCTTCCCTTTTGGCTACCTGCGAGAGGGCAGGATGTCAAGACAGGCTGATGGTCCAATCTGATTGGACTCTGCTTTGCCATCATCGACGATGCATAGGACGGACAAGCACGCATCTCTGAAACGGCCGTGTCGCTGGTGGATGCGCGAGAGTGGACGGCCATGGAGTTTTCGGGTCGAGCGGCGCGCAAGCAATTTTTGGACACCATGGCTGCGGCAGACATTGAGCATGCAGAAGACTATCTCGAAGGCATGAGCACGCCACTGTTGGAGGCTTCACAGCAATTTGCACGCGAAGTGAACGAGTTTACCGTCTGCGCTTGTCAGACGGTGCATCCACAGCTTTTGCGCACGTACTGCGATGTATTGCGAAAGATGTTTTTGGTCATGGCCAAGGGGTACGCCCAGGCCCATGAGACCGCAACCCCTGGCGAGCAGGAGATTTTGCGCTTGAACATCCATTTTGTTGTCGATGTTGTCTTTCTCAAGTGCACGGAAAAGCTGAAGGCTGCCTTTCAGGGTAAGTCTTGGAGCACTCTGGCTGGGGGCTGGAGGATGACTGGGGCTATTGGGAGAACCCGGTCCATGTCCAAACTGATGTAATGTGTACGTGCGGGTCATGTCCTCTGTAGGCCCCTTGCCCGTCTTGCCCGAGGTACAACGACAGCTGGCCAAGATTGTGAGTCGGCTCGGTCAAGCATCTCCCGAAGACGTCTCGCACATCTAGGCCGACGTCGACGCCGACGCCTTTTGGCGGTTTCTGAGCTCCTGATGGGTGGGTTGCCTTGAAGGGTATTGTGAAAGACACACGTTCTTGAATCGTGAGCAAGTTTGAAGTAAAGTGTAACGTGTATCACACTTGTCTTTTCAAGCACACGTCGTGTGTGCTGACAACCCCCACTCCTTGCCGCATAATTTTAAAAGTATTTTACATTATCCTCCTCTGCAGATTCCCCGTTTCAAGCTGATGGAAGGGATCTGAAATACTTTTGCCTTCATTTCTCTCTCTTGTTGTTGTTGTTGATGTTCACATGTCAGAGAGAGAAAGAGAGAGAGAGAGAGAGAGAGAGAGAGAGAGAGAGAAAAGGTAACACACGTACAACCGTGAAAAAAAAAAAAAATTAAACGGCAGCGCGGGTGCGACGGTGACGGACTGCAGCTGGTAAGTCTGGATGTGGGTGTTGGGACGTGATGCTGGCGGGGTTGTCAACGGGGGGCTTTGCTGCTTGGCGTTTGCTATGCCCTTTGAGGGCGACCTTGTTTTTTTTTTTTTTTTAATGTGTGTGTGTGTGTGTGTGTTGTTTATTCTCTCGAGGAAAGACGCCAGCCAGGCACCCTTTCGGGCTGCACGGGTCGGTCGGGGTTTGCTGGCATTTGTGCGGGTGTTATGGATGGGAACTGGTGGCTGGTGGGCTTGCAGGTCCCTGGGGACATGTGTGGGAATAGTGGGTTCAGAGCGTGTTTGAGGGGTTGATGGTGGCATGATGATTTGGAACGGCCTGGGCCGGATCAAACACAAGGCTCATGGTGGCCCGTTGGCTTGGCTGGCTCTAGACTATTCTGCTGTTGATCGGTGGATGTGGATGACGTTGGCCGAGGCGACAATTCAACACGACGTATGTCCATGGTTTTGGTCACCGCACATCACTTGACGGCCAATCCTCTTTGGCTGCAGGATCCCGCACCGGGTGACAAACGCCCTCTCGTGTCCAAAGCCTGCGCTCCGTGTTTTTTTTGCTCACCGCGCAATCATTCTTATTATCGGTCTCACTTCTTGAACGACGGGCCCGGACTCGGTTGATGATAGGTGTGGCGTGCGACCTTTTGCCCAGACGGCTTGACGTCCTCTTCCACCTTGGCTCGATTGGCAATGCTGCTTTGGACCGCCAGAAAACCCTACTCCGCCAGTCGCTCGATGCAACTAGCATCGCACTCTTGAATCCTCCCCACACCGCTTCAACATGGCGAGTGACCCAACCACTCCGTGCGCCGATGCCTTGGCGGACGACGCCAGTGGGGCCCAACCATATCCTCTCTTTGCACCCGCCAATGCCGAGTCATCGGCAACCCCTCTGGAAGATCCTAGCGCAAGCGGACATGACATTGGGCCGAGCCTGCGCCGGCTGATTGACAGCGAGGTTCGGCCCTTGCTGCTCATGCTCGCTTCTCCTCATACCCCCCCTTTTCTTTTGCCTGGCTTCTTTCTTCCCCCGTCTCAGCTCTCCGTTGACTCACTCCCACCCCGGTTTTGATACTTTGTCATCTTGATAGGTGTTTACCATGGTGATGGCACTCCAATATCTCTGCTCCGAGCCCAAGGCTACCCTGTACATTGCCCAACGGGTGCGCTTCCTGTCGGAGAGTCGTGAATTACCAATGCGGCTTGCATAGCGTCTTTGTTGCCTGTCTCACTGGTCCTCATGTATCTTTGGCCTCGACGTGTCAAACATAGCTACAACGGTTTCCCATTGCCGAATGCGAGTTCTTCTTGCCACAAATTATGTTCGTAAATCGCAGACTCTTGGTGCCGCTGTCCCCACGGCACGCTGCCTGCGCTGTTGTGGCTTTCCCTCACACTCACTTGCCATGATTACTACGTGCGCCGCAGCTCGGTCTACATGACAGACCCTGAAATGTATCGTGGCCTCAAAAAGGGCTTTCTAATGCCCATGTGTGCCTCTCACATGCATCTAGCCTACATGGTGAGGCATACTGCAATACCCCTTGCCCATCTTCATTCTTTCATTGATCTTCCCTTTTCCGCCTTGACGCGCGACCTTGCTCATATCCTCATTTCGTTGAACAGGCCTTGGTGCACCTGCGCATCGCGCTCGTCTCCTCTCCCATCTCGAGTCCGCGTCACTTTGCCATTGCTCAACTCATCAACGATATTAAACGGTTCGCACGACGCCCTGACTTGGACCTCGCCACTCTTTTGACGTATCCTCACCCAAACTGTCGCAAACTGTCTGGCCTATGCAGCGTCAAGCTGAGCGTCACGGCGCCATCAATGTCCGCGGCCGAAGCCATTCACGAAGTGGACGAGCAGGGTATCCACACGGCCCGAGCTAGTGGGATAACGGAGGACGCCGGCTTGTCGCTGTCTGCTCTTCGTCTGGGCACTGACAGCGATGATGACCTCGACGAAGGCACCCCGCCTCAGGTCCTCCCGCCCCACCAGCCTCATGCCCCCCCGGCACCAGCAAGCAACAGCACTCCAGGGACCCCGCGGAAACGTGGACACCAGCGCAGCAAAAGTGACGTCGTCTCCGTCCGCACCCCTGCCCGACCGGCGAGCGCAGCCAGCGTCCGTCGCATGGCTGATACCGCTGGGGTTGGCCGCTCTCTTGCCGGTTTGTCTTTGCACGTTGTACCAGATGCGAGTGTTTTTTTGCTGCGCTCCGAATGTTGCGACGCTCTTTGACGCGTAGCCTCTGGCTGTGTCCGTTGTCTGTCCCCTCCTCCCTTCCTCTCTTCCGGTCAGATGCACCCAATGCTTCGAGCTCCAAGTTGTCTGATTGGCTCATTCGGACCGAATCGTCTCTTGAAGGCCAAGTGCATCGTTTTGAATGGCTCCATGGGTATGCGCCACATCCACCTGTCTTCTTGCCAAAGGCCTTGCGCACCCATCTCTCATCCTGCTCGTGTGTACTGCTTACAGGTCACACTCCAGCTTAGACTCTGGCCACGCCTTTGATCCACGGTAGGTTTTTGTGCCCTTTATTTTGGCGATGGCGTCATGCATCTGTATGTCACCCTACAAAGTAGCCAGTTGCTAGTATTTACTCACCCTTGCTTCCTCCCGGGCCTCCCGACCATGTCATGTCATTAGTGGTGGCTCGGGAACCCTGCGCCACGTGAGTGCTCTTGGTGGTGTCGGTGCCTTGCGCCGACCATCTGGTGTGGACATACTCGCGCGCTAATGTAACTTCTTGTTTCCGTGAATCGTGTTTAGGCGAACTGGGATGTTGAGGATGCTTTGCATGCACAGGAAGCATTCATCAATACTCTTATTGCTATTGGCGACGACCTTCGCCGGTGGGTTTGTTTGTTGTTGTTTTTTCTGTCTTGCGCTTGGTTTGGGCACTGATCTGTGAGCACGCATCAAGCATCGCTGACTTGAGTGCTGTGCTCTGTCTGTAGCTTCCCAACAAAAGATGCCCGTCGTGTGCAATTACAGGCCTTGCTACGCAAACTAAATCTGAATCTTCCCGCGCGTGTCTATCTGCCCATGTTTGGTAAGTTTGATCATCTTGCTGTACCTCACGCTCGCATGCCGCGGTCGTGACTTTCGAAAGTGCGTTGCCTTTTTTTTCTTTTTTCTTTTTTCTTTTTTGCTTCTCTCATTTTCTTGTTTGGATCATCCGACTATGGTTGTAGGACTGGATCCGCATCCAGAAGACGCTGCCGGCATTGCACGCCATCACTTTGTATGTCATTGGGTAGCTTGTCTGTGCGCTCCGCACCCCAGTTGGTTCATCTTGGTCTGCGGTTGACCTGCGTCTGCGTTGCTGGCCGTGACAGGTGGCTCGTATCCCTCCCGAGGAGGCACTCATTCTCAACAGCAAAGATAAAGCCCCGTATATGATCCAGGTAAGCGACAAGGTTGTGTCCACATACTTGATGTCACTTTTGTATTTCCTCTGACCCCATCTGCCACGCTTGCTGCCATGCTATTTAGGTTGAAGTTCTTGACTGCGATGACTTTTTGTCATCGCACGTTCCAAGCAAGCTGACGCCCAAGAACCGACTCGGCCACATTCGGTCCTACTCCGAGGGTGGCGGGCTAGATGATCAATTGTGTCCTCAGTCCGACTCGGATTCGGGCAGCGTTGGTTCTGTTATTGACATTCGTCGTCGTCTTTCCAATGCCGCCAACACATCCGATCAAGTGGTGCGCATAGCGCCGCCCTCCGATTCCCTCTCGCAGCGTTGCTGGGTGTCCATCACATGCTCACCACGCGCGCATCTGCATCTCGAAACGTCGTGTGCCGTTTAGTTTGCCTCGCAGTCGCGGGACCCGTCGGCTCTGCGCGCCAAGGAATCATGGGTGGAGAAGGAAAAGCGTGTGCGCCGTCTGTCTCCTTACGGCCACCTCCCGACCTGGCATCTCATGCCTGTTATTGTGAAAACGGGCGATGACCTTCGTCAAGAGCTCCTTGCCATGCAGCTCCTGCGCCTCTTCCAAGACGTGCGTGGATCATGCATGCGTTCCCAGGCGACTGTCTGCACGTGCTCTGCCTTGCTCGATTCCGTGGAGACCATTGACCGTGTTGGATCGCATGTCACTTAGGTCTTTCAACGAGAGCGCCTCAAGCTTTGGCTTCGACCGCTCAACGTCATGGTGCTAACCGACTCGGCCGGGCTTATCGAGGTCATTGGCTCGGCTGTGTCGCTGCATCAGACCAAGAAGCGCTCTGGCGACTCTTTGTTGACGTACTTTCATCAACAATTTGGTGATGGAACGAGTGAATCTTTTATGAATGCGCAGGTCTGTTGCTCAAAGGCGATTCTCCGACTTTATTTTTTCTCCCTTTTCAAACTGATGCTTCCCTTTTTTTTTCTTCTTCTTTTTTCTTCTTCCTTTTACCTTTTAGGAGAGCTTTGTGGAGTCGCTGGCTGCGTATTCTCTCTTTACACACTTTGCCCAAGTCAAGGACCGGTGCGAGTCATCAGTCGCTCCGAGTGCTCGCGTGTCGTTTGGAATGTGAAATCTCACGGGCACGATTTTTCACCGGACGGTTATAGGCACAATGGCAACATCATGATTGACAGTGCGGGTCGCATCCTGCACATTGACTACGGATTCTTCTACAGCAACAGCCCGGGGCGCAACATGGGCTTTGAAACGGCGCCCTTCAAGTTTCTCAGCGATTTTGTTGAAGTCATGGGTGGACTCGAGTCTGATATGTTCCGCTACTTTAGCATGCTCATGTTCAAAGGTCGGTGTTGTTGTCGATGTTGATGGGGATGTTTGCTTGTGCTTCCAAAGTGCACGGTGGGCCATTCTCATCACGCTCGCAACGCATGCAGGGTTTTTGGCGCTTCGAAAGCATCATCACGACCTTGTCACCTTTATGAAGGTGTCTGCCAAAGGTGTGTCAACGCCTTTGATTTTTTTTTTTTTTCTCTTTCTTTTTTCCCTTTTTTTTTTTTTTTTTTTGACAGGGAAACAAGGTTGGGCCTCTCATTCAGTTGGCTTTGGTGTAGATTCGACGCTTCCCTGCTTTTATGGGGGTGACGAAGCACACCGGGCCTTTGAAGAACGATTCCAATGGGGTCTGTCGGACGAAGCTTTAATGGACTATGTGCAACAGGTGCGAGCCCCGCCTACAAAATTTCAAGGCCGGCACTGACTTTTTTTTTCGCAACTCATCGCCTTGTCTCGTGCCTTTTGTAGCTCATTCGGCTGTCGCTCGACAACGCCCGGACGCGCATGTACGACAATTTCCAATACTACACCAACGGCATCATGTGAGCCAAGACTCGGTGAAGCACGATGGCGTTGTCTTTTGTGATTGTCGTTTCTTGTGATGATTATCCGGTGCTGATGGCGTGATTTCCATGCCTTGGGAGTTTGAGGTGCTGACTGGCATATTAATCGAAACTTGCAAAAAAAGGCAGCTCGACCCATCCTGTCGATGTTTGATGACATTTTGTGTCTGTAATACAATGTCATGTCCACTTTGATTGCGTCAGGGTCATTCCTTTTTGGTTTGGGGACTTTTCTGACAGAAATGGTGGGATTTACGGGATGATAGCTTTATTTACATGTTAGTGTGGGTGGGTTGGTTGGTTGGTGGGTTGCGTGCGTGGTTGATTGGTTGGTTTTGCCGTCTGTAACGGTTTGTTTGTTTTTGGAAGATTGGTTGTTTGGGGGACGGCAAGACGACCAATCTGAACTGCCTGCTTGCATGCAGATTTACGAGCGCACCGCAAAAGCGTGCAAGAGAAAAGAGCCAAAGAGTCACCACGCGGAGGTCTACACTCGGACCACACACACCAACATGATCACCATCCACATCCACCTTCATGTTACGCTCCCCAACATGGCAGAAAAACAACCGTCAAACAGCGAGACTGTGAGTCGCACTGCGGACTCGTGGCTTCAAGATAATGAATCGACCACACTAGCGCACGCATATCAAGACACAAGACACACACACACACACACACACACACCAAAATCACCAGCCATCAAGTCACATCACGCCACACACGTCAAGCACATGCTCCTCTGCATTTTTTTCTTGAAACACGAGTGTGTGTGAAGAGGAGTCAACTGCCAACAAGATCACACCGCATATGAGGGAGCTGATGCAGATGCCCTGCGTCGCCTTGAAACATGAGTGTGCGGAGGGGGCTCGGGCGGCTGCTGCCCTCTGTGAGCCTGATCGTGATTTGTTCTTGGTATTCCGGGGGACTGTGTGACGGCGCCCCCGTGAATGAAAAGCCTCGCGGGGCCGAGCCCCTTGCCGCTGACCTGGACCGTCTGCGCACCCAGCTGCGCGAGTCGCTTCAGCTGCCAGATCAAAAGCGGTCCAAGTTGACCGATGAGGCCCATGCCTATCTCGCCATGCTGGATGACAACTGCACCTTTACAAACATTGATTACAGCGACCAATCGCGCAACGTGTACGTTGAGTGTGTGCGATGCCTTGCCCTCCCATCTCGGCTCAGACGCGCCTTTTAATTCACAGACCTGATCACAGGTGGTCACCGGGCTCTCACATGAAGCAGGTGCAGCTCCTGACTGCATTGTACGCTACTCCGGGTTCAGTCGACTATCAAAGCCCCTCGCTGCTCGCCGCCGTGACGTGTGCCACTCGTCAATGGCTTAAAATGGACCTCATATGCCCAAACTGGTAACGATGCGGGGAGGTTGATTGGGAGGGGGGGATGGATGCGTGCTTGATGGCAACGCCTTGGTTTGGCTTTTGTACCGCAATTATTCAGCTCTGGCTCGCTGAACGCGTAGGTGGTGGAACCAAATTGCCGTTCCACAGGCCATGGCAGGGACCTTGTATCTGCTTGGGCCAGATCTAATGCGGGCCCAAAATCTCGAGGATGGCATGGCCATTCTTCTCCGAGCTAAATGGTGGAGAGCCACAGGTGCCAACCTGGTGAGGTGATCTGGCTGTGGCTTCTCCTTTTTACCGGCCCCGTCTTGATTCATCTGCCGGGCCTCAGTCTTGTTTTACAGCACCCTCATCTGCGCATCCCGCACCCTGTCCGCAGATCTGGGAGGCCTATGTTCAAATTTTGCACGATGCCATAGTGGGCAACGTGACTAGTATCGCCCATGCGTATCAAGGCATCTATGCTGAGACGGGCCGAGTCAAAAGCCGCCAAGACGGCGTCCAATACGACTCATCCTTTCATCAGCACGATGGACAGCACCTCACAGGCAGTTACGGGTTCAACTACACAACCTTTTTGCTCGACATGGTTTATCAAGCGAGAGATACCAGCTTTTACATTCCCCCCACGCAAATGAGCGATTTTGTCAGCTTGATCGTGGACGCACAGGCCTGGATGACAGTCGGCTCGGAGGAAGTGTGGGATATTGCGGTAACAGGCCGTGTTATCACTCGCCCACCTGGCACAGACCGCCCGATGTTTGACATCAACCAGCTCGCGAGTCTCAAATCCCCACGCCGGCCCGAAATTCTCGACTTTGCTCGCCGTTTGGCTCGAAACGGCTCACAAACACCACTTGTAGGACACCGCCATTTCTTCAACAGCGACTACGCCATCATGCGTGGAGAAAATTTCCAATACAGTATTCACATGTTCTCTGCGCGCACAGCCAACGCCATGTGTGTCAACACCGAGAGCAAGCGAAGCCAATTTACGGCCAGTGGCATGGTAGCACGCTACTATACTGGCGACGAGTACGAGAGCGTCTTTCCCACGTGGAACTGGCAACAACTCCCAGGGACCCTGCTCGATCAGGTTTGTCCACTCAGCGCCTCGGCATGCTGTCTCGTCATGACTTGGCTGACCTTGAATGCTTTTTTTTTTCTTGCTTCAATGGCTTGATCGACTGCTTGCCATAGCAAGATGAGGCGCCCAACTGCAGCACGACGCTCATGTCCGCCCATACCTCTGAAGTTGGCGGCGTTAGCAACGGGGTGCTGGGGGCCGCCTTCATGACGCAGCGTGCACGACGTCCCCTGAAATGTGTTCGAAGCTGGGCCATGTATCCCGACGCCTTGTTTGCTACAGCCCACCGCATCTCTGTACCCGATAAGGTGCCGGTCGTTTTCACACTCGAAGACGCGCGGGCTCGTAGCACAGTGACGGTGGCCTTGAAAAATGGCGACCAGCTCGAGATTGCCTCACATCGTCCCATTCGGCTTGCCGCTGACACTGTGGCATGGATTCACCACGATAAAACCCTCTATGCTTTGAGCAGCAAGTTTGGCCCTGTTGATGGCACCTTGGAAATTTTTCGAGGCTGGGCAAACGGCAGTTGGCTGGATATTGGCACGGATCCTCGGCCGGAGACTGTGGACCGCTTCTTCCTCAAATGGGTGTTTCCCAAGCCCGCACCGTCTTCTGCGGGGTATCTAATGATACCAAGCGTGCCTCTTGTGTCTGCTCCCGTGGTCCTGTCTAATTTGACGAAGAGTATATCGACGGTGCAGACTGAGGAAGGCGTTGTTTTTTCCCGCAACAACATCCACACGGCCATCTTTTCCAGCGGCGGCCGCCATCGGTTTGCTGAACGGCACCTTGGCTGCAATGCGAGTTGTGCCGTGGTCATTGACACGAGCAAGAGCTCTTTCATCCTGACAATAACGGCAAGCTCTCCCACAACAACGCAGCTGGCCGTCGAGATCCCATTCAACGTTTTATCCTGCGAAAATTGCGTGCTGCTGAAAGATGGAAAATGCGTATTTACCACTCTATCGGCCGAGATGATGGGCCAAAGCGTAGTCGCCACATGCCGTCGCCTCTACACGTGGTATATGGGCTTATACATTGTCTCCGGGACATTGACTGTCCTGATGTTTGGAGTCTTTTTGTATTACACCGTCATGAAACGGTGCTCGTCGAGCTGTACCAACCGACTCAAGCCTCGCATCAACTAGCTTTTAATTGACTTATACTTTCTGTCCGAGCCGTCATCCCTCGCTCAAGTCGGTGTGTATATGACCTCTGATGAATGGCTCGACATCAAACGCGTGGCACCGGCTGTTACGTTCCGCACGAAGGAAAAAGCTCCTTTGAAGAAAAGTTCTCATGAGAAAAGTTCTTATAAGAATCACCTTAAGAACCGTCTCATTTGAGAAGAAATGTTGAAAAATATACTACGTGTAAGTCTTTTTAGTTGGCACGAAGAACAGGAGAAAGAGAAGAAGTTTAAAACGTTTTGTAAGAAGAGGTTATTTTTGTCCAACTTTGTCTTCTCGAAAGCAGTTTTGTCGCTTTTGAGAAGAAGTACAACCATGTCTGTTCCTTGATCTACTCGACCTTCCTTGACGGCGGGTAGTTTCGTACACCGATCACCCGAGTCAAGTCAAGGTCGCGCGGCGTGCGAGAACACCCCAAGGGCCTTTATCAAGTCTGACCAAAGCCATGGCAGTGGACCCCGTCACCACCCTTTGGTGCCTGAAGCAGTCCACGTTCAAACGTGAGGGGCTGCCAGACAAGAACTCACCGCAAGCCCGAGATATCTGCTCCTTGATCAAGCCCCAGCTGTCGGACGCCACCGGCATGAGCGATCTTCGGAGACGCCTGCGTGAATTTTATGAGCTCAGCTACACCATCGCCTTCCGGCCGTTACAGCTGGCACTAAGGCAGTACCGTCAGCTGCTCCCTCCGTTGCCTGCCCCATTACGGAAGCGGCGATCAGAGGGGCATCAGCTGCATCGATTCAAGGCGCTGACAGAGGCTCAACAGGATGCGAATGAGCTGCGGCAGAAGCTCAAACATCACGCCACGCACGGTGGCCTTCTCAAGCCTAAAGGAGGAGTCAGACTGATCGCAAAACACTCTCTTGTTGCAGAGCCTGGACAGAAGTCCGTGCTCGAGGTTCAAGTGCACAACGAGCGCCCCAAGGAGCGTCTGCTTCATGTCTGGGATATTATTAGCAAGCCACGCCACGTGAGCCTGTGGGACGAGAAAATGGGAATTGACAAAGTTCCAGTCCCTGCCAATGGCACTGTGAACCTGCGCATCTCCTACCACCCACCCCAGCAGGAGCACGTTGTTTGTCTACTGGTACTCAGCTTTGGCGGATTTCACCTGGGGCATGTGCTCGAGCTCAAAGCTGAGTCAGCCTTGCTAAAACAGCTGCGAGCCGAGAATGAGCCTCGAGTGCGGCGCCGACAGCTTAAGATCCGAGGTCCAGTCCACACAAATGGAATCCGACCTTCTGGTAAGCCTTGCCCCACAGTTGGTTGCTCCCTCCCATGCTTTCTGTGCCGCTCCTAACAACTTGCTCCCACATACAATAGGCGATCTTCCGAAGTACACAACCCCCTTGCCCAAATTCGAGAACGCCACGCCGGTGTCTGAGCTTGCCAAGAAACTGCCAGAACAGCCTGAGCCGCTCACGCCTAGCACTTATGCTAAGCGGCTTGCCTTGTTGTGGCATCTCGAGGAGCATCAAATGAACCTTGACCTTGACAGATACAGCATGGAAAACGCTCCCCTGACCATCAGCGGACGATTTTTGGCTCTTGTCGTCCCTGGTCTCGCTGAGCGCCGACCCTCGGTGCTCAAAGGTGATGCCATTATCATTCAGAACGCGTCGGGCGAGTCCCACCGTGGATATGTGCACCACGTGCGCCAGTGCGAGGTGTTGATCAAGTTTCACGAAACGGTGCACGCCCAGCACATTGATCGTATGCCGTACAATGTCAGGTTCACGTTGAAGCGGACCGGTCTGCAGCGTCGGCATCGCGCTCTGCGCGACATTTCTTCGTCCCCTTTGCTGCCGCTTGTTATTCCCACACATCCTCTCTTCCCGAAGAAGGCGTCAGCGTCACAGCCACGACAGCTCCAGTGGCGAAGTCCAAACCTCAACAACGAGCAGCAGCAGGCTGTGCAGGCCGTGATTCAGCTGCCCCCACAATCACCACCGTACATTATTTTTGGGCCCCCAGGAACAGGGAAGACCATGACGCTCGTCGAAGCAGTTTATCAGGCAAGTGTGCAGACGTGCAATGTTAACATTTGCAACAAACACGAGCCCTTTGCTCATGCTCATTGCGCTTCTCTTCCACAGGTGTTTGCCTCGAAACAGGGGTCTCGAGTGCTCGTCTGTGCCCCAAGCAACGACGCCACTGACGTACTTCTGGCCCGAATTACCCGCGCTGTATCCGGCCTGCTGCCTCAAAGCGCCATTCTTCGAGCAAACGCGGCCTTTCGTCAGCGCAGTGGGGCCGACCGCGAGGAGGTTGCCAAGTACAGCTGCTATGACGAAGAGGCCAATGTGTACAAGCTGCCGGACAATATGTCGCACGTGCGCCTTGTGTTCTCCACCCTGGCGTTTGCCGCTACCGTGACCGACGTTCAGAACGGATTCAAAGGTGTTGATTATGTTTTTATCGACGAGGCCGGCCATGCCGACGAGTGTGAAACCCTGCTGCCGTTGATCGGCGGCGTGGGGGCCTGGTCCGAGTCGGTCGGCACCCGAATCGTGCTTGCTGGTAAGCTGTTGCTTGTTGGATATTGCTGTGCGTGCTCTCGAGCATCTTAAGTTGGTGCTGTGCCGTCTTGTTCTATTGTAGGTGACCCTTGTCAGCTGGGACCCATCATTCGCAGCTCTGTGGCGGTCAAACATGGTCTGGGCGAGTCCATGCTCGAGCGCCTGATGTCCCAAGCTCCTTATGCTCGCCAGCTCGATGCGCCTACTGGGACTGCCCCCACGTTCAATCGTGCCTACGTGACCAAGCTCATCAAGAACTACCGCTCGCACCCAAAGCTGCTCGCAGTGCCCTCGCGCCTGTTCTACGACGACGAGCTGGAGGCTTGCGCCGATGTTGATGAGCGCAACTCGCTGCTCACCTGGGACCAGTTGCCCAACGCCAAAGTACCCCTGGTGTTTCATGGGGTGCAAGGAAAGCACGAGCAGGAGGGAGACTCACCGTCGTTCTTCAATCTGGAAGGTACGAGCAGCCACACACCCGCCCTTGTTCAACCATGTGCCTCTCACCTTGCATCCTGTGTTGGCTTTGGTAGAGCTGGTGCAGGTGTGCCAGTACGTCGAGGACTTGCTGGACCACCGCCCGGCGGGCCTGAGGCCATCCGACATTGGTGTCATTGCACCCTACACCAAGCAGTGCCAGCGTTTGCGGCGGCTCTTTGAGCGCAAAGGGTGGGACCGCATCAAGGTGGGCACCGTCGAGGCCTTTCAGGGCGACGAGCGCCGCGTCATCATCGTGTCAACCGTGCGCAGTGTTCAACCAACGCAACTCGACACGGTGGACCTGGCCGCTTTCTTGCGTTTTGACGTGGAACACAGTCTGGGCTTTCTGCGCAACCCGAAGCGCTTCAATGTGACAGTCACTCGCCCCAAGGCTTTGCTTGTGGTGGTGGGTAACCCATTTGTACTTCGATGCGACCCGTGCTGGAAGCAGCTGATTGACTTTGCCCGGGAGCAAGGTTGCTATGCGGGCACAGAGTATGTCGGGCAAGCTGCCCAAACCGAGCAATTCGCCGAGGCCATGCGCAGTGTTGGTCTCGACCGAGAGGTGGACGGCTCAGACGACGACGACGACGACGACATGGATGAAGCCGCTGCAGCCGATTTGCCATGGCAACGGGAGCACTGATGACCTCCTAGCGCACGAACGTGCATGACACGTCACCCATTTCAAGCCTGAGAACTGAGTATGCTGATAGTTGTGATCACGCTGGAGAACGTGTGGCTCGAGTTACGTTGTTATTCCGAGAAATACTCATCTGCCGTGACCATCTTCTCGGATTTAACTACTACAATTGATGCTGTCATTATCCATGCATGTACATGTATGTGCTTGATGTTGTCATTACTGGATACAGTCCATACAGGGACGAGACAAGGAAACAGCCCAGGCAACGAAGGAAAATACAAGAACAGGTCATGCCAGACTTCATGACGTGTGGAAGCCAGTTTTCAAAAAGCAGGGCATCTGCTGAAGTAAGCCGGGGTTGCGGCAAACAGTGCCGATCCTTGTCAAAACAAGTATAGACAATTAGCATACACACTTGTTTGACAGTCGTCTTGATATCATTTGAACATTGGGTGGCAAGCACGGACGCACTCAGGCCATGTCTTGCACAACGTCAGCTCAGCTCGTCCAAAGGCAGATACAGACAGCTCGTTTGAATTAGCGTAGTTTTGGATGTACTGACGCATCGCCGGCTTTATGCCACCTGTTATCACAAGATAGTCGACGGTCTGGGAAAGCTCACCAGCGTTGACGCCTACTTGAAAATCTATGTACGGTGTTGTTTGACTTTGCGTCATTCCAATATGCGGTGTGTTTGTGAGAGACTGATGGCTCACTTTTGCTGCTCGGGGAGTCCAATCCTGCTTGACCAGCGTGGGTGGCCTTGGAAGCATTGCCAATTACCAATTGACACAAACTCAAACCACTCGGAAAGGTTGGAGGTACAGACTGTACATCCTGTACGTTTTCACACATTTTCCACTACAGTCATCTACGTCCCCTCTATTTTTGAATGAAAAAATTCCACACGTACCGCCGATGCCCTGTGCGAGTATTTCATTATTTTGAACATAACTTGGTTGAACTCTACGATGAAGTCATGGTGCGGCAGTCATGTGAAAGGTCGTACAATGGGCTATTTTATGGTACCCAATTGGGCTGTATACCTCGAATGTTTCTCCATGTTCACGTGCGAACAAACAAAAATTAATTTTTTTTTAGTACGGAAGACTTGAAAGCTCGGCTAGATTTAACGTGCGATACTGTTGGGAACTGGGACTTGTTCAGTGCTCGCGTGTTAGCTAAATATACGAACAATCGTTTCCAGAGACCCCGCACTGTGTCTTTGTAGAAGCAGATGCGTTGAATTCTACCAGAAAAATAACAATTTTTTTCAATTTTATTGATTTACAATTGCGAACTGGTTGACAGCCGGTTTGACCAGGCGTAGGTAGGACAGTGTCTCGATACAATCGGGTAGCAGGATCGCAGGCCTGCAGGATATGTTCAAGCTCAGTGCGATCCAGCTCACTTTCGGAAAAAGGTGTGTAAACTCGAGATGTTTCCGATGATGGCTCCTGAATAGTTGATAGGCCCCTGTCAGGTAAGTCACGAATCCAAGAATCGAAAGATGGGAATTTGCCGTAACCTGGCTTGCTGTCATCTTGTGCGCGGTCGAGAGACGCATTGACATCACCACAAGCCGCTTCTGAACCATCTAGGGTTTGGGCAGGGCATGTTGTATTTGCAGTGGGGGCGTTTGAGGCTTCCGTGTGACAAATGTCCACAGTCTCTAACCTCGCACCGCTGTCCAAGGCAGCCTGAGCTGACGCAGCTGTGCTCTCCTGCATCGCTGGTGTTGTGGGTGGTGCCGAGGGCGCGGGGGCATCGGTTTTAGCAGCAGTTGGAAAAGCCGGAAGGCCCAATTTGTACTGGAGGCGCCTCAAAAGATCTGGTTTATTTCCAGTGACGGATATGCCTTCTACTCGGCATGCTGCTTGAAGGTCGCTTTTGCTGGTGCCTGGTAGGTTCAGTACTTGCTGTATTTGTTCTAGACTAGCGCAGAGAGTGGCACGGCGTTGGGCCTTGTCAACTTGACCTGCTGCGCGGTCGCTGACCTGGCGCAGACGCTGTAGTGGCTCGTCACGCACTAATAGTCCGTGAATGCCCTCCACCTTGGCCCGTTTGCTCTGGCTTCCAGCGGCAGCTTGACTCAACTTGTCAATAAAGCACTGCTGGTGTGCTGCTATGTCGATGATCTCATGTTCAAGTTTGTCAAGGCGCTTTAAATCCGGTTGAGCGGCTTGAATGTAGTCGTGTGCCCTTTGGGCCCAACGTACTAGCGTGCGCGGTGTGCTCGTGAGGTCAAGGGAGTCAGGAGGGGACGCAGACGGGGGCAGAGTCTGTGGTGTAATTGGAGGAGGAGAAGGGGCCCGGTGTATCTCATCCACGGTCTCAGGAGGTGGCTTGTTGGACATCAAATCCCAACCCCAACGCGTTCGGGTGATGCCTGCCGCCTTCCACGCTGCGATAATGCAGTCAGGATGACTGCTCTGCTCGTGAATGGCGTGATAGAGAGCGCAGCACTCTTCTGCAGCCGTTGCAGCTCGACCGGAGGTCATACCAACCAACTTGCGAATGCGATCACGAGAAACATGTTGATGCCATTGATCACTAGGGGAGAGACAATGACTTGTGTATGGTGGAATTAAAAAAAGGAAAATGTTGATCGAGCGCAAGTATGCCACAACTTCGGCCGAGATGCGCGTTCGATGGCCGTCGGAAATGAGCAACAGAGGCTCGGTATGTCCAGTAAAGGCACGAAGTCGACGACAAAATGCTAAGAATAGACGACGAGTGATCCAGCCCGTCTCATTGGCACAACTGGCAAAGTGCTGTAGCTTTGTGTCCGTCACGAGCGTTTCCGGCAGGCTGATGGGAGCGGCAATTGTGTCTTTAGAGAGTGTGGCACGCTTGTGGATGAGCAGAGGTGGCGCTAGTGCTCCACCAAGGGCGATGGCCATGACAAGAGTCACAGTTCGGTTGTAGGTCTGCCCCGCCATAGCGCCTCGATCGATGTGCCGGTCGTTGCGAGAGTAAACCCGCAATGATCCAAAACCGGCTTTTAAACCGGGCATTTCGTCCACGCACCAAATGTGGAACAAGCCTGTCATTCAAAGAATGGCCAAAGTCGCAAACGTGAGCGCTTCCACAATCAAAATGCAAACGCAAGGCTAGCGGGAACTTACGATCACCGCGAATTGTTCCGGCATGGGGTCCGGAGAGGTGCAAAAATCCAAGATCTTTTAGAGCCTTGCCAAATTCTTCAAAGTGTGCGTCACAACGCAAGCGTGTGGCGGCGGCCACTCTGCGTGAATCTTGGGCTCTTGCGCCAACAAGCCGTAATCCAAACTCATGTTCCCATGCTTCAAACCAGTGCTCGCGCAGGGGTGTGCGTTGTGAGTTTCTGCTCTGGGCGCGTGGGCCATCAAATCGAGACAAAAAGGAGAGTTCTCGTTGTGTCAGCGCGGGTATCAGGTCAGCCTCGGGCAGCTGGTTGCGTTTGGCCGTTTCCAACAAGTTACGGCGTATCTCTAGCAGGTCCCGCATAACGTTGATAACGTGTGCCCGTGTCCTGGACAAATTGTGATCCGCAAAGGTAGCAACATGCTGGGCAAGTAGCTCCCGCTCCGACGGAATTAGAATTGTTCGACCATCGTGACGCGATGCGACATGCCGTGCTCGCCCTCGAGGAGCATTCAATTCTTTTTCGGTGACTTCGTACAGCTGTGCAACCACACGGCTGCTTGGGGCGCGGCTTGACAAGCTATCATGATGTGGTAAAAGCTTTTTCAGTGTCTTTCGCGTGACGTTGCGAACCCCATGCTCTTGCAGCAGCGCGTCCAATGCATCCTCAGGCGCTTCGCCGCGATATATTTGCAATGCCAGCTGGAACAGCGCAAAGGCCTGGTCAGCGCGCATGCGCTGTTGCACCTGCGGCACATGCCAAAAAATAAAATGATGGCCAAACATGCCGCGCAGCGAACCAGACGAAGGCAAACGCCAACTCATAAAGTAGGGTCGCGAAATAAATCAACAGAGTGTCAGCTTACTTGTTGTGCTCCTGTGGCCTCCGCTAGCGCGTGCTGTACAGATCTCCGTCGTGATTGTGGCATGGTGCGCGAGGGGTTGGAAACGGCAGTCACTCTTTGTTGTCAGACGCATAACTCATTTCAAAAGCACGATTTCAATCTCAAACCAAGCCCATCACAAAGTTCAAGCAGGTTGGCGCCATTGACATCTTTCAACGCGTCCTGTAGCAGATCAGAGACCGAGATCCATCCCCTGCGCTTGAAGGTTGACCTCGGGGCACGTCTCTCCAAGACTCAACCAAAAAAAAGCTCACTCAAAAATAGAGGGGATGTAGATTTCAGTGGGTTGACTGTATATGGTGACATGTCGCATGTTTGCGTCATCCCACAGCGTGACGATACACGACTGCACTGGGCCTGCGATAACGGTCATGTCAAGGTGGTGGAAATGCTGTTGAAGCACGGTGCTGATGCTCAAGTCGAGGACGAGGTCAGTGTAGTACCACCCTCTTCCCTCCCTTGCGCCCCCCTATGATGGTGCACCTGTACCCCATGATGATGATGGTGATGCTGTGCCTGTACGTCATGCTGATGCATCATCCCATAGGATGGCTGGACACCACTGCACTGTGCCTGCGAGAACGGTCAAGTCAAGGTGGCGGAGATGCTTGGTTTTGCTGATGATGTACATGTGCTTGGGCTAGGCATTTGGTCGGGCTGGTCGCGATAAACAGGGTGGAACTGCCGAGCTGTGGCTACCAGTGAGACGTGGGCCAGCACCAGGCATGGAAAAGTTTGTCGAGGGCAATGCGTGCCGCAGCTGGGCGCTCGGCAAGTTGCTAGATCCCCGCATCGCGACATGCTTTGCTGCCGGCCAGCCGCTTTGTGATGTATGCGCAGGAACAGCACAGCGCCTGGAGCCAGCAAGAGCTGCACGCCAGCAGCGCGCTGCCCAAGCGTTGAGTGTGGCGCATGTGGAAGCAGAGCCCGAGGCGATGGCGGAGGAGGAAGATGTGTTGTCTGAGCCACCTGCAGCACGGCTCGAGGAAGAAGAATCGATCGGGCCAGGGTCCACCTTGGATGTAACTTTAGCATCGGACGTTGACACGGCAGCATCCCCAGGACCAGCTGCCGTTGCAGCGCAGTCGAGCAGAAGCACTCCACGTGCCCAAGACACGGCTGTGGTGGCGACAAATGGAGGGCCAATGACGGATGCTGCTGTGCCACGGATACAGACGAGTGCTGCTTGGATTGATGAGGCAGATACAGCATCCATGTCGGTGCCAGCTTCACCCATGGTCTCTGATGTTGATGACGAGGCGCCTTTACAGCAAGACGCGCGTGGCCCGGCGCAAACCACGATGGCAGAGGACGAGAGCACGCCACAGCCAGTCATGCAGTCAGCAGCACAGCCAACCCCCACGAAACACGCGCCAACCCCGTCGGCCTCGATCATTTGCGTGCCAGTACCATCGGCCTCGGGTTCAACCTCCTCTCCGGCGCGATCGGCTGCAAGCTCAGCCTCGGGTACACTGCGGCGTAAGCGAGTGCCGCTGGCAGCTGAAAGTACATCTACCCCTTGGTCTGACGATCATGACGACGATGGCAACGGCATTGCTACCAGCCCTGCTCCCTCAACATCCAAGCGAACGGCATCGGATGTCACGTGCACAGCTGCTGCTTCTTCAACAGCGGCGCAAGCAGCAGAGTCGCCTCTTCCCGCAGCAAAACGAGCAGCATCAAGTGGCACGCGCACCGCTACCATTGCCGCTACTGCTACCACTCGCTCTGAAGCCACGGTATCTGCTGCGGCTACGCCACCGAATCGGCACAACGTCGCGCCAATATTTCGGCCGAAATCGGGGACAAAAAAAAAATATCTGATGAACCACGCGGCGGCTGACAAGTTTATTGGCGTTCTGAAGTTGATGGATGATTACTGCATGCGATGTACCATTCGACAGGCGAAACCCGTCCTGAAGGCCGAGCATCAATGCGTATCTAATCGTGGTTGCAAGCGGTGTCACTTCGAAGGACACGAGACAAGACTTAAAAAATGTTCCGTGCGCCTCGTATACCCCGACGAAACGTGTTGCTACGCTTGTGGAATGCCAAGGATGATTCGTGGATGGGATACACGGAATCACCGTTGCAGGCAGTCTCAAGGACTGGATTCGGGCCTGAGCTGTCTCCTCCTTTATTCGGACTGTCATCCGGGGCTGCGCGACCTGGCAAAACGGATGGGCTACAACTTGAGGGTACAGACATTGAAGGATTTAAAAACGCGCGACTTGTTTGTCGAGTGGCTGTACTCGTCCGTTCCTGGTCTACCTCCAGGGGATGGGCATTGGCGTCTTGTGGAATTTGTGTTTGAAAGTGCGAGGATCCTGCTCCACAGTGCGGCGAAAGCCCAAGTCGGCCCTGACAGTTTTTGCTCAACACACACAATAAGCTCTTTTGAGAATCAGAACAGAACCGAATGTCAGAATGTCATCATCTTTTGTATCTTCAATAACTGCTGAATCGACTGCGACTTTGTACTTTGACTGGATATGATCTGCTTCAATTAATTGAAACTTTGCTTCATTAACTTCATGCCTCTCTTCCCTCCCTTTGCTTTTGGCTTCATTTTTTTTTCTCACTGACACAAGACGCGCCACGATGAAGCGGGCCATGGGCGGCGCGCGCTCCTGGTGGTGCGTTGTCGTCGTTGTGGGGCGACGGGTAAGTGCTGCCGAGGTGCAAGCGACGACAGGGATGAACGGGTGGCCAAACGACATTGCCGCGTGACCGTCATGGATGGACCATCTTGCTGATCTCGTGTTGGGCTGCCATTTGTTGTCAAGACAATTCCTCGATCTGACCCATGAAGAGCCGCAACCGCTCGTGCGCTGATGGACGCGCTAGCTAGGCCCAAGAGCCACGGAGCCTGGTCAGATCCGGCACGAAACACTCCCGCTCAAATGCAGGTGAGAAACCGATCTTAGGCCCGCTTTTGAAAATGCTATCCATGTTGCCCGCTGCCAGAGTCAAGAGCAAGAGTGATTTTTGCGATTTTTGACGCGCGAATCGCCGGGCGTTTCCGACGGTAGAGCCCCACCATTAGTACCCCCTCAAGGGAAAAAAAAAAAAAGCGCGCCTTGGCTCCTCGGCCAACACCAAATGGCAGCCGGGCCTGTGGTCACAATTTTCGGCGCACGTCAAACCAAAGCTCACCTCGCATTCTTCACGAGCTTCCGCTGCTCCCTATGGAGTCCTCGTCCAACGTTGGCCGCCCTTTGACCCGCCAGCCCCACCATTAGTATTCCCCCCTCGAAACGGCCTAAAGGTGCGCTCCTCAGCCGACACCAAATGGCAGCTGCTGTGTCACAGGGTACCCGCGGGTGGATGAGGACCTTATGATGAGGGCCGGGCACGCGAGAAAACTGCGATGTGTGTTTTTTTTCGACGTGCGCCAAAGATTGTGACCAGGGGCCCGGGCGTGTCACAGGATAGCCACAGGTGGATGATACTTCCCATTGAACACTGGAAGCGTACGATTGGCCCAGGAGCCCAGGCGCACCTTTAGGTTTTTTTTTGGCCGTTGAGGGGGGGCGCTAATGGTGGGGCTGGCGTGTCACAGGGCTGCCAACGGTGGACGAGGACTCCACAGTGAGCATTGGAAGCGTGTGAAGAATGCGAGGTGAGCTTTGTTTCTACGTGCGCCGAAAGTTGTGACCAGGGGGCCGGCTGCCATTTGGTGTTGGCCCAGGAGCCCAGGCGCACCTTTTGTTTTTTTTTTGGCCGTTGAGGGGGGCGCTAATGGTGGGGCTGGCGGGTCACAGGGCGGCCAACGATGGATCAGGACTCCACATTGAGCAGCAGAAGCGTGCGAAGAATGCGAGGTGAGCTTTGTTTCTACGTGCGCCGAAAGTTGTGACCAGGGGGCCGGCTGCCATTTGGTGTTGGCCAAGGAGCCAAGGCGCGCCTTTGGTTTTTTTTTGGCCGTTTCGAGGGGGGGACTCATACGGGGGCTGGCGGGTCACAGGGCTGTCGACGGTGGACGAGGACTACACAGTGAGTAGCGGAAGCGTGCGAAGAATGCGAGGTGAACTTTGTTTTGACGTGCGCCAAAAACTGTGACCAGGGGCCCGGCTGCCATTTCGTGTCGGCTGAGGAGCGCACCTTTTTTTTTGTTTGAGCCGTTGAGGGGGGTACTAATGGTGGGGCTGGCGGGTCACAGGGCTGCCAACGGTGGATGAGGACTCCACAGTGAGCAGCGGAAGCGTGCGAAGAACGCGAGGTGAATTTTGTTGTGACGTGCGCCGAAAATTGTGACCAGGGGCCCGGCTGCCATTTGGTATTGGTTGAGGAGCCAAGGCGCGCCTTTTTTTTTCTTTGGCCGTTTCGAGGGGGGTACTAATGGTGGGGCTGGCGTGTCACAGGGCGGCCAACGATGGATTCGGACTCCACAGTGAGCAGCGGAAGCGTGTGAAGAACGCGAGGTGAGCTTTGTTGTGACGTGCGCCGAAAATTGTGACCAGGGGCCCGGCTGCCATTTGGTGTTGGTTGAGGAGCCAAGGCGCGCCTTTTTTATGTTTTGGCCGTTTCGAGGGGGGTACTAATGGTGGGGCTGGCGTGTCACAGGGCGGCGGACGGTGGATGAGGACTTCACAGTGAGCAGCAGAAGCGTGTGAAGAACACGAGGTGAACTTTGTTGTGACGTGCGCTGAAAGTTGTGACCAAGGGCCCGGCTGCTATTTGGTGTTGAGGAGCCAAGGCGCGCTTTTTTATGTTTTGGCCGTTTCGAGGGGGGTACTAATGGTGGGGCTGGCGTGTCACAGGGCGGCGGACGGTGGATGAGGACTTCACAGTGAGCAGCAGAAGCGTGTGAAGAACACGAGGTGAACTTTGTTGTGACGTGCGCTGAAAGTTGTGACCAAGGGCCCGGCTGCTATTTGGTGTTGAGGCGCGCCGTGTGCTTTGTTTGAGCCGCTTTGAGGGGGTACTTATGGTGGGGCTTGCGTGTCACAGGATGGTTCCAGGTTACAAAGTGAGCACCGAAAGCGCATGAAGCAGATGACGTGTGCTTTGTTTTGACGTGCGCCGAAAACTGTGACCAGGGGGGCGGCTGCCATTTGGTGTTGGCGAATGACCGTCGCTCGCTCTTGTTAAATTTTTGGCTTCTTTTTGTCTTGGCAACCATCAACTTGACATGACATGTAAACCTGCGAGCTTTTGGTGCGTTGTACTGTCGGTACTCAATCGAATCATTCGGGATGTTTATTGTCATGTGGGTTCGGCGCAACCTTCCTAACGTTATGTCATCTTCTATTTGTATGACTTGGTTGAATCGCACTCAGAAAACGTGACTGTTCGAATAACCGTAGTTCCTCAAACAGACTTCCATATCGCACAGGTGTTTTCAACGACGTTTCATTGATTAACATGCATGTCAAAGAACATCCTTTTTTTTTTTTTTTTTTTTTCTCACATCGATCGTTCACAGTGGCCGTCCCTTGCACCTCCTCTTGCCCGTTCTTTTCCCACGGAATCCAACTGACACGTCCCCAAGAATCCGCATCATGGATGTTGATGTGTCTGGCACGCAAAACACTGGACAGACTGCTTGCCGCCAATGTGGCGACACCTTTCCTAATCGTGGTCTCAGAGACGAACACTGTCGCAAGGTGAGTTGGTGAGCTGATTTCATCTGTGGCTGCATCGCATTCGCTCTTATGAACATCTGCTTGCTGATAGATGCACCAGCAGAGCAGTTCTGTCACCATTTATGGTGTCAAGCACCATGTTACACGACAAGCGGATGCAAAATTTCACTGTCCTGCTCCAGGATGCGCGTCCAGTTACGATCGTGCAGCGTACCTTCGCAGTCATGCTAAGACTGCGCATAAAATGCCTGACGCTGGTGCACCGGCGCGTCTGAAGGCACGCACGCGTGTGCCAAAACGTGAAGTCAACCTCAATCGACAGCACGGCGTGGCCGGGGCACAAATGTTCATGGCCGACATTGAGTGCCTTGTAACCTCTGCATTTGCATCACTAGTTTGCACGCGATGCGGCCACGTCCTCAGTGGAAATGTTCCCTATCATCTGCTCAAGAAACATCATTTACGTTGCACCCAAGAGGACATTGATGCTGCCACAGCACTCCTGCGTCCACTGCAGCCCGAGGGGCCTTTGATGGACACTGGCGCAGGATCCATGCCTTGTACACCTGCGGAAGGCATCCCCATTCTGGACGGTGTGGGCTGCCCCCTGTGCCGAGCATGCTACACGTCAAAAAATAGCCTGCACTGCCACTTGCACACCGAGCATGTTGGTGACCCCGGTATCAATCAGCCACCTCGACGCGTCAAGCTGCAAAAGCCGTTGCGCGGTGCCGGAGCCCGCTGTATCGAGGTCATTGTCGAAGATGGCCACGATGCCTCGGCAGCCGACGTCAGCGAAAACGAGGAAGAGCTGGAGGAGCAGCAGCGGTTCAAGCAGCTGATCTCCAGCACCCAGGCCATGGCGTCAGAGGCTGAGGAGAAGCGCTGCCCGCACGGCGTTCACCAGATGCACCCGTTCTACGATAGTGTGGGCATGACGCTGATCCTGAGCGAGCTGACCCCAGAGCAAATTCTCAAGCTGGGCCACGACACCCCACCCGCACCACTCGTGTCAGGCATGCACGAGCTCTTGTGGGAGGCCCACGAACAATTGTCCCAGCACAGCCTGGCGGCTGCTTCCGTGGCGTCCTTGTTCGAAGATGAAGAGTTGCAAGTTGAGCCACAAACTTTACCCCAAGTATCTCCTGGCACGATGAGCAGATACCTAAACATTGGAGCGCGGTTGGTGCATTTTATACTGCTACTGGACGCACTGCCAGCCCCCGAGCCATCCAGCTTTTTGAGCCAGGTGCTCGCCAGTCGTGGGGAGGCCATAACTACAGCTGCTTTGGCCGTGCAAGACGCGCTGGATGCGGGACTGAGCGGGGAGGATCTTGTCGAGCCCTTGGCAGCACTGTGGCTGGCACTGGTGAATGCAGAGCTACATCTGTTTGACAACGACAAGGTGCACTTTGTCAACGTGTTTTTGTTGTGCACGGCCGTGTCCAAGGGAAGCGGTGTCTTGCAGGACATCCGGCGCTGGACCACAACGCTGGCCGGCCTGATTTACATTTTCAAGCTGTTTTTGCTCCGGTTTGGCAAGGCACAGCGATGGGCCACTGCGGGTAAACTCAGGCCTTTTCTACAGTCTGGACGGCTGGTGCATTTTCTGAGCCAGCGCATGACGGCGGCTCGCTCTGCCAGCACGGCCGATGGGCAGGTTGGAGTGGATATTGACGTGCAAACGGACGGTGACATGACGGACGAGGCGCTGCACACCATTGTTTGTCAGGGTACTGAACTCAACGTGAAAGAGATTGGGACCGCCCTGGTACAGATGCGCAACGATATGAAAGAGATTTTAGACACCCACCTCTTGCTGGGATCAGATCTGCGAGAGCGACATGCTCTCAAGTATGTCCGGCTACGGTCGAAGGAGGATCGGACCAACAGGGTCAAGAATTGGTGGGTGGGCCATGGCAGCCCAGCTGAGCGGGCCCTATTGGATCACATTGGCCAGACTCCGAGCTTGCGGCAAGAATTTATCTGCACGGAGCTTGGCCCAGAAGGAGCTGATGAAGAGCCGACCTTTCGAGAAGACCGCGTGCGGGAATGGCTTTTATTTGTGGGCAGGTTCAACCAGCTGGCGCTCACCTACACCCACATGGCTGGAGGTACGCTTGCGATCGAGCAAAGACTCTGTTTGAGAAGTTTGACATGCTACTTGTATCATTCTTACCTGTTTGCATTGGCCTGATCGCTTTCTTAGGTCTGCCACCTCAAGCAACCGTATATCAAAGGCTATCCTACAAAAATGGCGCGGGTCGGCAACGGGCCGTGTTTTTCGCTGAAAGGCAGCTCTCCATATTGACTCGTCTGGGTAAAACCCACGGGCTCTCTCTAGATAAGCAGCACACCTTCCGGTACATGGACGAGGAAGTCAGCAGGCTGATTTTCATGTATTTGCTCTTGTGCAAGCCTCTGGAGCAGATGCTAACCAGCTGGCTGGAGAAGCGGGGCGCTCTTCAAATCCCTCGCGATGGTGGGCATGGAACCTTCGACGATGATCAGGAAGAAGAGGATCTATTGGAGGACGAGCAGGATGAAGACCACATGAGCCACGACGATGGCATGACCTTGCAACGCGAGGTACAAGACGCTCAACACCACTATAACAACAGCCACTTGCTCTTCAACATTGCGCCTCTGCAGACCATGCTCAGCCCAGCCTCTATCTACGCTGCCTTTCGTCGACAAATGGCCACCTACCTGCATCAGCCTACGCTTGGAGTGGCAAAGTGGCGACACGCTGCTACCTTTTGGATGACAACATTTGTGACAAACCGGCTCTTTGCCGACCCCGCGAGCACTTTGGGTAGCCTGATGCGCACCCAGGCACAGCCCTTGGGCAACATGGCCAAAGACTTCTTTGCTACCGCAACAAGCTACCAATTGCAAGCCAAAATGTCATCACGTCTGATGCATCAGCTGGCCTCACAAAGCTGGCATGCCTTTTTGGGTCTTGACCGCAAGCGCAGCGTGGCCGAGCTCACAGCCGCCAAGGAAGCTTTGGATGTTCGCCACCCCATAAGCTGGAGCGTGTCACCAAAGCTTGAAGTAGGCGGGCGCGTCATCATGGATACGCAAGCTGAGCATGATGTAGCCTACATGACCCAACTGGCCCAGCAGGCACGCATCTCGTGGGGCCACGGCTTTAAAAGCCAAGAACAATTGGACCTGGCAGCGGCCATTGACCAGCATCGGGCCGAGGACGGCTGGCTGATTGTCGTTGCACCGTCAGGCATGGACAAGACGCTTTGTACCATGCCCAAACTGGGTTGTCACCCGCATGCCGGCACGGTGCTGTGGATTGTGCCTTTTGCGACCTCGGCAGACGATTTGTTGCGGCGTTTGCAGGCGGCTGGCCACAGTGCGCAAAGGTGGCTGGGCCCCTCGACGCCGGTAGCAGCTGGCCTGGACGTGCTTATCATCACGACTGGCAAGTTTGTTCGCACGGGGTCTGACGCCCTGCACGCACGTGCTTGCTTCCAGGGCATCCGCACTGTGGTTATGGACGAGGCGCACACGCTCATCTCTGATGCCAGCCACCGGAACATGATGGCTCAAGTCGGGGCCTGCGTGGCCTCTGGCGGATGGACCAACATAAAGCGCGTGGCTTTGACCGATACTTTATGCATGTGCGACCAAGAGCGGCTTTTTCGACAGCTGGGTCAGCAAGCAGGGGGCAAACTGTACCGCCTGGAAACAATGCATCACAATGTGGAGCTGCGTGTGCATCATGGCGACCAGCGGGCCTTCTTGTCGCACGCGCAAGGTCTTGTAGACAGACAGCGGATGACGCGTCGGGAGAATGAGGAGCGTGTGCACATGATGGTCTTTTGCGACACGGTGAGCGAGGTGAAGCTGTTGTGTGATCAGCTGCACGCACGCGGCTATGCAGCCTTGCCCTACTATGCAGACTTGGAAGAGATGGCGCAAAAGGACCATCTGGCACGGTGGCAACAGAGTGAATGCGACATCATTGTGGCCACCAGCTGTTTGAGCACGGACGTGGACCTGTTTACCGTCCGTCACGTGCTGTGGTATGGCAGTGGCCATGACGTCTATACCCTGGTAAAGGTGAGTTGTTGCCCAACCGTCCGCGGAACTGTCTCAAAAAAAACAAAAAAAAAACAAGAAAACAATTGTTCATTGAGCTAATGGTGTGCATGTAATCGGCTATAGGCATTTGGTCGGGCTGGCCGTGATGGTATGGGCGGAGCTGCCGAGCTGTGGCTGCCAGTCAGGTGCACCCCAGCACCGGGCATCGAGGCCTTTGTCGAGGGCAGTGTGTGTCGAAGGTGGACGCTTGGCAAAATGTTGGATCCCCGCGCTGTTACATGTCTTGCCACCGGCCAGGCTCTCTGTGACGTGTGCACGAACATGGCACAGGAAGTGCAGCCAAGCAGCGTCTCACAGAGTCAACGTGTCGCTCAATCGGGCGAGACTGCACTGGAACCAGTGATGGCTGATGCATTGCCACGGCCAAGTGCTGAACGACTTGATGCAGCCACCGCAGAGCTTAGGTCTGTGCCAGATTCACCCACGGTGTCAGATTCCGAGCTTCAGGCACAACGACAGGAAGAAGCTCGGGCGCAGCCAGGGCAGAGCAGTGACACTCGTCAAGCTCTAGCATCCGGCGTGACGACAGCCTCTGAAGCAGGCTCGGCCATGGGTGATGCTTTGCCAAGACCACGTGCAGCGCGGCTTGACGAAGAGGCCGCAGAACCCATCATGTCCCTGCCAGCAACACCAACGGCATCTGACTTTGAGCTTGAGTTTGATTCCCTGACAGAACTTCAAGAAGATGATGTACCATGTTCTTCCGTGCCAGGTTTGCGGGCCAAAACCACGTCAGGGGGTGAAAATGTGCCTCGGCACGCAACAGAAGCTGCAGCTTCAAACGAGGCTAAGCAGACTTCCACGGCTTTATTACCTCGTCTTGGAGCACCGCTGCAATCTCTGCCAGTACCTTCGGCCTTGCCGATGCGCTTGCCCGTGCCATCTGCTCCCGATGCCTTGTTACCACGGCCCCGAGCAAACGCGCCCTCGGCAGCGCTGCGGCTTACGCGTGTCCGGGCTCTGGCGGAACGCACAACTGCCCTAGCCTCACCCATGGAGAGCTCCCCTGACGGTGACGGCCCTGTAGATATAGACCCTGCCGCAGAGGCCGAGACCACGCAGCACCCTTGCACTTTGTTGGGCAACCAAGGGTCTGGAATATCTGGCGCAAACCCTACGCGGCCTTCTGCCAAGCGTGTGGCATCTGATACATTGCCCCCGGCTGCTTTATCATCGCGAAGCAGTGAGGCTGCGTCAATGCCACGCCTGAGATCAGACAAGCGAGCCAAGACGACGCGCTCGCGCCTGATCCACAAGGCGGCGGCTGACAAGTTTCTGGATGCGCTGAGATTGATGCATGCCTATTGCATGCCATGTACCATTCGCCAGTCTCAAGCCGTCTGGAAAGCTCAACATATCTGTCCCGAATCAGACGACACATGCACCCGGTGCCATCTCGCGGGGCACAGTGTCGATGAGTGCAACATTGATTTTGAATCTGCCACACGAGAATGTTGCGCCAGATGTGGCATGCCATCTAGGATTGGCGGCCACCCCTTGAAGCATCTGCCGGGCTGTGCACTCGATAAAGGCCTTGGACGAGTCTTGAGCTCCATCGTCCTCCTTGCCGACTGTCATCCGCGGCTGCGCCACCTGGCCAAGCGGATGGGATACGACCTTCAGCCCGGGACGCTGCAGACGCGACATTTTCGCGAAAGATTTATCGCATGGCTGTACTCGGAAGACAAGCATCTGCCGGCAGGCCACTGGCACCTTGTGGAGTTTGTGATTGAAAGCGTTGAGATTTTGATCGGGGCAGCCGCGAGGGCTGTGATATGATAACAGAGGTGACAGACTATTTGTTAGGCTTGGATAATGTTGTAATCGAAGTAAAACGATCGCTGATCAAACTATGAAAGAGATTAACATGTAAGCGAGATCCCCTTGAGCT